CTTGTTTCGCTGATTACAGATTTTCGATTATCTGATTAGCGAAACGAGCCATCTGCGTATTAAATGTTATTTTCGGAAAATATTTTGTAAATATTGTGCGTATAAAACCTATTTTCATCGATTACAGTTTAATTTTCATTATGTGTGTTATCCCGTTTCGTTTCGTTTCGTCGATTACAATATGCCGCATTCAGAAAGTCATCCCCCGAGTCATCCACACTTCCGAAACTCCTTTCGCGCCTCGGCCTCATTCGCATTCAGCTCCTGCCCTTTTCTGGGTTTTCTTCCCTGTATTCATGCCAAAGTCACTCGGAGCTAAACATAAAATTGCGTCACGTAATGGTATCTGATGGAATAAGAATCCTGGCAACGTTGTGTGCATTGTGTATTAAACTATCAAATAAATGATCATATTCACAATCATGCCAATAGTTCTGATCTTTCTTCATCAAACAACGAATGACACCAACAGGTGTTGCATACACAGTAACTTGTTTAAGTTGATCACACTCCAATTGAGTGCAAACACGGCAGAGAATCCTCGCAATAGGGGTAGGATGTTCTCAATATATGTCTGAAATAGCGGGTGTTTTTTTCTTCAATATGTCTGCTCTAGGGGGTACTGAATTTACATTGCGTCCACAATAGGGGGTATGGTTTGCCAATGTGCTGCCAGCCCTAGGGGCCTATTATTTTTTTAGCAAGAACGCACATGGTGTAAGGTTTAAATATTGAGTGACACCCCCCCCCCCCGGTAATATTGTCAACTGCAAAGCTATACAGAAGAACACGTACTAATCTTCCGCCATTTCTAGGCTATGAAGTCAAACATCATTTGCATATATGTGCAGGAGAATGCCACCAACTTGCTAATTTGTGTTGTAAAACAGTTACTAGTATTCTGAGTTCAATGCATGATAAGAGGAGGTTGTAAAAAATAACCCTTAAATATTGAACTAGGTAAAAGTTTCAAAAACTCTAAACGTGCATTTCAAAAAGTCGGGTTTAAAAACTGCTACTCATTACCTTTCACGAAGTTTCTATATTTTCATTCAACTTTTTATATTTTTATTTTTCATTGTCAATGCTGGTTTTGTAAATCCACTGTTAACGTTTTTCCTCTATAGGTATACGCACACGAGTAAAAATGCTCGAATCGTGTTACAGAAATGCCGCCTTTGTTATCATTTGTTTGAAGCATTGGATATTCTTCGGCTCTGAATATCATAAAACCTGGGCGGAACATGAATATATCAAATCTGCCTCTATGTTTATTTTCCACCGTTTTTTATTCTATACATAGAATTCCTCGTATATCATTTGTGTATCTGGACGGTGCCCTCTGCGGTGAACTGCTTTTTGTTGTCGCACTGTTATATCCACATACTCTTCTGTGAATTATTTTTAGAAAAAATAACAATGCCAAATGTGTGACCAATCACATCGGTTCTCACTTAATTCCAAGACTGTGACATCATGATTTGCAACAACAGGTAATTGACATCTGACCCGGCAGTTAGTTTTACTATGTATTGCTATATTGGGCGTATTCCGTGACCAACCAACCGGGCGAACGTTGGAACGTTGATGAATGCATAGCGTATTAATGATACAGGTATGAGCGATCGTGACGTTCTTCGCCTGTTCAACAACGAAGGGGACGAAAATGGCAATTGGAAGTGCTGTACGAATTGTCAATGGTCTAATGGCTTGTTGAAATCTGTATTTGGCGTGTCATTGTCGCTTTTGACGGGGATATCGTTTGCTGTTAGCAACCTCTTCATTGCACTGGGAGTGCTATACGGACTACCGCCATTACAGCTAACGTTTCTGTGTAATATGGTATTGGTGGTATCTGTAATACCTCCTATTATCTACACTCGAGCGACCCTTATTCCAGAAAACCCTGCCGATACTGTATTTTTAGTGTCACTGGGAGTGGCACGCACTTTTGCTAGTATTGCTATTATTTACTCGCTGGTGTACATTCCTATTGGTAATGTCACAGCTATTAGCGGAGGAACAATACCCATATTCTCGGCGTTAGGTGCCACCATATTCCTTGGCGAGCCGTGGAAAATAGCAGATATCGTGGCATCCGCCATCAATGTCGCCGGGACACTTCTAATCACACGTCCTACGTTCCTATTCGGTGAAGATACACAGTTCGCTACATACGAGGGCGATGCAGACTACTATAAACAAATCTCCACATCACAGATTGTTGTCGGATACAGTCTCGTTGTTGGAAGTTCTGTCGGATATTCCACTGTATATATATTAATTCGAATTCTGGGTGAACGAGTATCAATATTTACTAAATTATTTTACGCTGATTTCACTGCTACCTCAATGACCTTAATAATAATGTTTGCTTTTGGGAGACCTATATGGGAAATGGATTCGTCTGTAGCGTGGTATATGGTAGGGATGGCTATATTTGATGTGTCTGGACAATGGTCGCGTTTCGGGAGCTTGGAGTTGGAGCGCACTGCAGTTGTGACACTGCTTTCTAATATAGAAGTAGTAACGGCGTATATATTGCAGTACTTTTTCATGCAATTGAGGCCAACATCTCTAGACATAACAGGTGCCGTTTTAGTCGTGCTGGGGTCGATAGTAATCTCGAGTGAGGCATTATATGATAGTTGGAAAACTGAGAAAGAATCCAGGTCTAATAGAAACCACGACGACTATCATTGACAACGTGCATTGTTAGACGTCGTTGGTCCGTTCTTGACGACGGGTGTTTCTATGAATAGCAATATTACATCAGCATCGTAGGCTTATAAGAGCATTGGAATCAATGTTTTTAAAGTACCGGCATTTTGTTTGTTACTAGTAATCTTTAAATACCCCTGTCGTAATCCCGTGTAGCATCAAGTATGCTAAATATAATTTAAATGTCGTCATTACAACATTTCAACACTGAACATTGTCCACTGAGAGCCGCAAAACAACATATCTTTTATCCGTAATGTATATTGTCAATAATATTATTGAATCTGCTTGATTTTCGAAGTGTATACTTGTTTTACACCGATGTATCCAATAATTATGTACATGCAAATGTGGTAATCTCACTTATACTAACTGCTACATGCGGTACTCAAATATTCCGCAAATTAGTCCGGTCTGTTTTATTCGTTATGAACGCCAAACAGTCTGGTCTGTTTTATCCAATATGACCGCCAAATAGTCCGGTGTTAGATTCAAAATGACCTACTATTTTTTTGGTACGTTGAAATGGTCGGTTCTGTTCAAATATGGCCTCTAATTACTTTGATAAATGCTGGCTTTACCGCATCTATAATGGCAATATTTATCTTATATACCAGCCTTTTGTATCGGCCCACCCTTTTATCGGCCAACGTCATTCCCGTAGAAGAGGCGAACTATATGGAATCTAGAGAGGGCAGAATAATGTGCCTTATGTGTTTCAGTAGTCACCTCTCAGAATTTGTTTATTTAAATATATTTTGCTTGGCAATTATGTTGCAATTATGGGGGTCATTGGATCTATCATGGTACTTCATTATGGTCCAAATTACAGGTACAAGATAATAAGAAAGATATTAAATATAAATCGTTAAAATAATCAATTAGTTTTATTTTGTGGACTTCTGCTAAACAGATCAAGTGGAGTTTATCGGAATTGATTTTGTTAAAAAGGCTACATGTTCTTGGTGAAAATGTAAAAAACAAGAACAAAAGTTGGATTGCCATTATAAGATTGCATGGATTTTGTGGTTTGGTTTCAGTTCAACAAATTCTTTTATGGATGATCACAAACATACTCCTCCACCACTCCCTGAATATCATGAATCTAAAAAATGGCCACTATGGCTAAAAGGGTAACCCATTTCAAATCCGGGGTAGCTGGTACTTGATGTGTAGCACAATGTTTGGTGTGTCCGCCCACCATCAGGGAGATTACACCCTTAGCAGTGCAAAAAGCGTACAATCCGGTCCTTTGACAGACTCGCGGCATTCATATTTAGGGGAATGGCGTTCTTTCGGAGGGGCGTAAAACTGTAGGTCCCTTGTACTGCTCCTATCCTCAGCGCATGTAAAAGATGTATTTGTTTTTGTCCAAAGAGTAGTGGTTTTCACAGGACAACTGACGACTTCCTCTCAATACACGTGTGCTTGAGTTGCGGCAGCTTTTTTGACTGGGGTGAAGATTTTATGTGAATGTCATTTTATGTGAATGAATGTCAACGCGACCTTTCTTGAGGGTCCGGGGCATGCTCCCCCGGTAAAATTTTGATGGTACACTTAGGTAATATTTCTCTTACGTTGGGCCGCACGGTGTGCATTTCTACCGACATTTGCGGTGGATTTTAGTGATAAATATAGATGAGTGTTTCACCTTATTTTATCGTGGGGCCGATGCCCCACGACCTATTTTTCGTGCCAATCAGTCACGCCCTGTAAATTTAAATAAATATGCAATAAAATGGAAAAAGGGTCGCCCAAGTGTAAATAATAGTAGGTATTACAGATACCACACAACAAGACATCATTTACTGCAAATGGGCATTGTCCTCCGTTTGGCTATGGACTGACCTTTACTTCCAGGTAATGTTGACATTAGCAAGACATTTTCAAAATAAACCGTCACTTCATTAGATAATATATCAGTGAGTGTTGATATCATCAAGGTGACTGCTTCCACTTGCGCCCGCTTCAAAAAGTTGAGACCATTGATAGACATAATGCTTGCACCATACACAATAGAAGATGCTCAACAAGTTCGTCTTGTTGGACAATGAAATTTTAGGATATGTTATTTTGGTAGGCTATAATAGGTTTACCAAGCAGTCCCCACTGGGAGAACTGCCATAATAGACAATTCGGTTTGGGAGGCTCTCATTGCTGCAGTTCGAAAACCATTGTTGCTATTTCAAGACATGGTTCAGAACAGAACGGTGTCAGTAGTTGCATTGCAGGAACATGAAGTCGGTCGCTTACCTCAACAATGGGGTCAGCTACTATGTAGAATTTAGAAGTATAACTACACCATTGGGCCAATCAGATCACTATATCTGGCAAAACACTTCAAGAGGCGGCTTGATGATGTAGTAAGAGCCATCCATAGATTTGTATGTCAGTTTTTGTCTTGCGAAATCTGTGCAACCAAGCTCTCACTTATAATGTGGATAATGTGAGAAAATATGGATGTGTTTTCACCATTATGTTCATTACTGACACTGATACAGTGCAAATTGTTGTGATAACATCAAACTGACAAAAAAGCAAGGCGTGGTTTCCCAAGTATCATCCAAGGTAGCTATTGTCAGACCCAACACATTGATAATAGTGCATGGTTGTACACTTGTGCTCGAGAAGCTATGTGAAGGTTTATTTCAGTCGCAAATGTGCAGCAAATATACAATGCACTAGCACATCTAGGTTCTATCAAAATTCATCAGAGTCCAGAGAGAGGCTACAGGGGCGGATCTAGGATTCTGGAATAGGGGGGCCGATAACTTGGCCGAAGGCCTAGTTCGCGAGCGCCGATGGTGCGAAGCCTTTGGTTAAAAATAGGGGGCGCGGCCCCCTCGGCCCCTCTAAATCCGCCCCTGGGCTACCAAGATTGTTGTTTTTCATGTGATAACCATCCAATCTATCTTACTATTCTTGTAGCGGAGTTTTTATATTTTTGGTTAAGGATCGTGGAATATCTCCTACAAAAATTAGTGATTGCAATTCGTCAAATAACTGTCCCATCTATCACATGATCAGACTATTTATGCTAATATTCTCTGTCCGCAACACCATGAAACGCTTCTTGGGCACTTTCTTTAGTGTTCGATTTATTTTAGGAACCCGTTTATATGAACCGTGGCGAGGTGCTGCCATTCTCGTGTTGTACTGGAAAATAGTATCTTTACTATTTTACCAATTTAACTTTAATAAATGTACCTAATATAACGGTATACTGGTTTAAGTTTTGTGTATTGATGGGACCCAAACGCCCTCTAGTGTCAAGGTTGAGGAATTGTGTGTCCTTTGCCCCGACGACTTTTACTGACGACCGAATCTATATTCCTATAATCTATAGAAATTGCCCAATGGTATCTAACAAAACACTCGGAATTTCATGATCAAGGGATCATTCAAACGGGTTTTAGAGGTAGATAAAATAAAATTTTGTTGAAATTCACAGTATAATTTAATTTATCAATTTAGTACCTCTGCGACAGAGGCTATACTATGACTGGGCAGACACCTGACATGTGAAGTCAAGAGACCAACATCGTTCAGACTCTATGCGTGAATCATTCTTCGCCTTAGAAGCGAAGGTTCTTTACA